CCACCACCCTGAGCACAGGGCAGTATTGAGTTGAGGCCTTGGGCCACAGAGCCACAGGCCACGCCCGCACTTCCGTCTTTGCATCACAAGCATGGCGGCAAGTTTTGCGTAGGTGCACAACTCACACAGACCTGCAGTTCGCACACGGCGACAAAATGATGCAAACATGTGGGAATGTCTCAGGACTAGGGGACCTATAATCTCTATGTGAGCTATAGTCTAAACTCCATAAAGGGGAGTTATATAAGGATTATATAGGGGACTACTACAGGGATTATTCAGGGGGATACTAGGAGTTTAGGTTATAGCTCATGTAATCCCAAAGTATCCCTCGAGCTCCTCAGGGTCCCCCATTTTTTGAGAAATCCCCGCTCCCGAAGCGCAATCTGTTCTAGTCCCGCGAAGGCATCACAGAGTAGGAGAGGTTGTCCAAGTCATGGGCTTTCTTTTCTTGAATATTTCCCGTTGAAACCTTATGAGCACTGACAAGTATATGATACACTGAATCCTTGGTAGTTTCCATTCTAGATAGCACGACAGTGTTTCGTGATGTCCTTGCTGAATTCATGGGTAGTGCATGAATTCAAGATGGTTCATGGTCAACGGAGGGCGGGGCTGTCTCAGAAAAGTTGTAGTTCAGGGTATAGCGGGGACCTGACATTCTTGAGAAGACAGCAATAGGCAGTTTGCTGTGCCATTGGCTCGCAAGTGCAGATGTGCATGCGATGTTTCTTGATGTCGCCTAGGCATTTCTAGAATGAAGGAGACCTTCTATCATCCTTATGCAATCCCACGTATTTCTGGGTTTCACAGGGTGCCCCTCTGGAGAGAAACCTCTACGTGCAGGCCCTTTGCCGACGGCGTGGATGTCCAGGGGCTGAAAGATTCCTTCGACGAGAAGGTGCGAACCCGAAACCCCAAACCTTAAAGACCCTATGTACTCTGTGCAAACAGATCCTACACACCCGCCTATGAACCCTACAACCCTACAAGCCCCAAACCCTAAACCTTTAAATTCCCGTGAACCCTATAAAGCCTTTCAACCCTGCAGTCTTATGAACCCTAGCCCTAAACCCTGCAGCGCGCAAACGCATGGTTTCGGATTGCCTTGAGGCATCCTGCAGTAATAGTAGTCAGTAGCAAGAGTAATAAGAGCAGTAACCCTAAGGGTCCAGGTACCCAAATATTGGGGCTTTAGGTACCCGAAGGCCTTATTTATCGGGGTAATTGCTTGGACCCTTAGGGTGAGAGTAGTAATGAAAGATAATGAAAGTAAACTACTCCCAGAAGAATCCTCAGGAGCACCCTGGATAGGACGGACTCTCTTAGAATCCCTGGGTTCCTCCTTTATATGAGGGTTTCCTGAAATTAGGAGTACCTGAACCCTTAAAAGTATGTAGAATAATGGCCCTTTGGGCTATTTTTAGGGTATTTAGGGCTATTAGTTTACATACTTTTGGGGCCGAGGTACCTGTTTGGGTACCGATAATATGGATTACAGTATTTTGGCGTCTATATTGGGTCTCCCCTATTCCATATAATCCCTCGGTGAAGAGTTTGTTGCTAGACGGTCTATCCTATGCGGCTCCTCTCTTAGACATTGGAAGGGGCTTCTGATGTCCCTCAACTTTGCATGAAAGGTTTCGATGCATTTCTCCGAAGCAGAACCCTAAACTCCAAGGCCACAGATGGGGCTTTCAACGTGCTGGTCCTCTTTCGGGAGTCCTGAACCACAAAAAACCTAGACCCTGATACTACGAAATATAGTTTGGGCACTGCCACCCCATTAACAGTTGGATACTATTTATAATATGATTTATAGATCCCTACATATATGGCCCTTATTATAGACTGTTAACGGGTGGGGGCAGGATCTAAAAAATGGTGAGCAGTCGTGATCTCCATCTTGGGGCCCTCTATCAATGGATCGCCCCGTTTTCTACAAGCGGTCATTAGACATGCTGATCTTCTGCCCTAATAGTAACCCACCCGCTCCCATTATGTTGTATATTATGATATATTAGGGGGGTGGGGGGGTTGAGTAGTAAGGGAGAGGATTAAGTAGCAACCGAACTGTAGCTTTTGCAGATCTGCAGAAATTCCCTCGCATGAGGAATCCCATTCATGTGATACAAGGGAGTTTCTGGTAAGTAGTTTTCCGTTTGACCCACAGCTGAATAGCAACTGGCACCATGCCCCAGATATGCTTCTTCAACACCCCGTTACACATGTTCAGGACCCAGTGTTGTAGAATCTGATGCATCCTCTCTTGTCAAGTAAATCGCGAAAAGACCAGCTTCTTGCATTCAGTAAGACGCAATAATCTCGTAATTGTGCAAGCCTTACGCAGCAGCAAATGCTTGATCCAAATCCCTAAACTCTAAACCCTAATGTGGTAATTTCCCTAACTAAGGGAACCCCAATATAGACCCCAAAGTACTATAGTCCATATTATGGGGACCCCCCCCTAAATGGTACCCCTAATTTTGGGAAACTACCATGTAGCCCTAATCCACATAGGCCAGCAAGGTGGGTCAGTATTTGTTGACTACAGGGCCCAACCTTGGCATTCTTTTTTGAACTTCTTAACTTTTTAACCTGAGGTTTAGGGTTTAGGGTTTAGGGTATGGTTTAGGGTTTAGAGTTTAGGGCCTAACCCTAGGCCGAGTTCTTCGAATGCATGAGAGGTCTGGGTAAGCTTCCCGGAATATGGCAGCCGGGTAGTCCTCTGGCAGCAGTTTATGGAGGACTGCCTGCGGTTTTCAAGGGCTACAGGTTGTGGACATTAAAGGAACAAGTTGGATACTGCCCCAAATCCCGCAATTGTGGCATGCAGGATCTTCATCGATTCAAGGTGCAGGGTATAGCATCATTGGAATTACACTAGTGGTGGATTGTCACAATAGGGTGCGGGCAGTATCTAAGGTGTAGGTGTCGGGGTTAGGGTATGGGCTTTGAATCAGGTTTGGCGCCAGAATTTACGTGAGCCATAATCTACACTCCTTGAAGGGGGCTGTAATATAAGTGACTATATAGGGAGTACTGTCGGGTATATTAAAGGGGGATACTAGGAGTTAAGACCTTAAACCCTAAATCCTAAACCCTATATGCTAAACCCTAAATCCTAAACCCTACGCCCTAAATCCTATCTATATTCTAGGGGATATCAAGGGGGATACTAGGAGCTTAGACTATGGCTCCCGTGGGGTTTGCTCAGACCCAGGATTCATAATAGGATCCCCACCACCCGGATCTCCACCACCCAGTAATAAATGGGACTATAAGGGATAATGTAATAGTGGTGGGTTTAGGGTTTAGGGTTCAGGGTTTAGTATTTAGGGTTCAGGGTTTGGGATTTAGGGTTTAGGGCTTAGGAATAGGGACTGTAAGGGATAAGGATTATGAAGGTCCTCTTCTATTCCTGTTATACCACTGTTACAGCGTGTTTTGGCCAGCCTAAGATCTCCCAGAATCATAACGGCCCACGGGTTGACATTTGGGAGAAACTTCTCCCAGATGCTCAAATAAGGATTCTGCGACTATCTTTTGACTCTGATAGGGTCATGGCTGATCTCGGCAATACACCTGCTGCGCTTCAGCAAGGGGCCAGGAGAGTCGTATGGTCTTTCTGTTGCGCTTGGGGTAACCAAATCCCCTTTTTGGTATTCACCTTAAAGTTTATACTTGGGTCCTTAACCCTGGGGTTGTATGTTAATGGCCCCCTTCAACGCTCCAAAGCAGTTTGAGGGCCAATGCTGGCGACCCGTAGCGGCAACGTTAAGGTTTAGTGTTTACCTGGACCCCAAAAGTATATAAAATAATGGCCTTTATGGCTGTTATTATGGGGTTTAAGGCGATTATTTTACATACTTTTGGGGTTGAGGTAGGGGTTTTGATTCATACAGCCCAGCAGGAGCACGGCGTCACAGTGGATCCGGGCAAGCTCAACATTTCGACGCTCGCGAGAGCACGGGCCTTGGGGTTCTTTGTCATAAGGTTTGGGAGGCTGTTTCGGGTGCAAATCAACCCTAGACCCTAAAACCCTAAACAAAAAAAAAACCTTCCTAAACCCTATGCCCTAGGGGACAAAGTTTTTGACGGTCAGTGCGCGCCTGGACCCATGTTTGCGCTAGGTCCCTTGCAGCCTCTCAAACTACTAGATTCTGGGGCTTCCCCAATATTCTGGGGGTCCCAATAATAAGGACCATAGCATTTTGCGGTCCACATTGGGGTCCCCCTATTTATGAAATCTACCAGATTCATACATACGCACAGATACACATCTATGCACATGTGCATATACACCTATACATATTTGTATATTATGTATACATACGTATGTACATATGTATATATACACACACACATGCACGAAGCCCAGGCCGCAGGATGCATGTGCATGGTTGTATGTGCTTTGTTGCTGATGTTGCTTACTGGGGGTTGGTAGGGAAGAAGGGAATATATTATATCAGGATATAGGGATTGTTTTCCTTTATTCCCTACTAACAACCTTACAAACAACCAGTAAGATTGTGTTTTCGTGTTTTTTTTTGCCTTTCCTCTCACGGATGGTTATGTTGGTGCGTGGCCTTTTCTGGGGGATGTCTTGAGGACCAGGCTCCCCCACTCCTGCTCCTATCCTCAGGCAGTCGTCCTGCAGATCAGCTATAGTCAAAACTTCTCAAAAGGGCCTATAAAGAGGGTTTCATTATAGGGGATGACTGTAGAGATTATTAAAGGATACAGGGTTTTAGAGTGTAGCGCATTTGGTAAGGACAGCCAGCACTGGACCGTGACTGTGTCCCATCAGCCTCTGCAGCAACCACAGATCTGACTGCCCACCCAGCACTCGCAAGGACCCACGCCAATGTGCCTGCAGCTCACGACCCTAAACCCTAACCCGAAAGCCTAATCCCAAAATCCTAAACCATCAGCCCCAACCACTTGCAAGCCGCAATAACCTGACAGCCCATCACCTCCCATGTGGAAACCTTACTGACAGTCAATTCCTCAAACCCCAAACCCAATTTGCAGAGTTTAGGGTTCAGGGTATAGAGTGCAGGGTTTAGGGTTTTGAAGCCTATTAAGACCTGAAAACACCCTAAACTCAGGTTTGTCAAGCAATCTGCCAACCTCGTCATAGATTACCCCTCCAGGTCAGTGAGGGCTACCCAGCTGGCTCCATCAAGCAGACGGTCAGCCCAGCATGTTGTGCACAGTTTTGATTTTTTCCAAAAGAACTGAGCAAGATTCAAGCCAGCGTGAGCAGGAATTCTCAAGCTCCGAATGCCATCTCCTAGCGTTGCATTAAATAGTCTTCTTTAAGTGGGAAAAGTATTCAATATAGACGAAGATCATGTTTCTCTTAAGTTGTAGATTACACTGTCAGCTCAGTGAATGTTTTTTGCTAGCTGGCGGGGTTCGAGGGTGACCTTTGCATCTAGCATTCAAACATAATGACTTCCTGGGTTGCTATTAAGGAACTTAAATTAAGTTACCATAATGGGTATATATAGTGAATAATAGGGTTTCCCCAATATAGTAACTTAATTTAAATTCCTTAACAACAACCCAGTTTCTTCTGGCAAAGTAGCGCAGCACTGCTTTGGCCTTGGTGATACCCAACCACCCGCTTGTAGCCAGAATTGTAGCCACTTGAGCTATAGTCTAAACTCCTCAAAAGGGGGATATATAGGGGACTACTATAGGGGATATTAGGGGGGATACTAGGAGTTTAGACTATAGCTCACTTGAAGCCAGAATTGCAGGCCTAAAGCGTTCCAAAGCTGACGTTTAGGGCTTAGGGTTTCGGGTAGGGTTCAGGGTTGAGGCAAATCCTCCACCCGAACCATCCGCCGTCCACCCGTGAGCCTCACTGGAACAGTTTAGACCCAAAACCCTGCACCCTAAATCTTAGAACCCCAACACCAACCATGCCTCAATCCCACCTGAGAACTACCCTGAATCCCCTAAACCCTAAGCCCTAAACCCTAAACTAAAGCCAACCTAGCCCCTACACACTAAGCAGGGAAAGAGTATGCCCGAACCTTATGACCTTTCCCCACGGCCCCAAACATTACATCCTAAACTCTCAATCAGGAAGCCTACGTCCAACCCTCAATCCTAAACCCTAA